TCAATCAATCAATCAATCAATCAAATCAATCAAATACATCAAATCAAACAAATCAATCAAATAAATAAATAAATAAATAAATCAATCAATCGATCAATCAATCAATGAATCAATCAATGAATCAATCAATCAATCAATCAATCAATCAATCAATCAATCAAATCAAATCAAATCAAATCAAGTCAAATCAAATCAAACCAACCAATCGATCGATCAATCAATCAATCAATCAATCAATCAATCAATCAATCAAGCAATCAATCAATCAATCAATCAATGAATCAATGAATCAATGAATCAATGAATCAATGAATCAATGAATCAATGAATCAATGAATCAATGAATCAATGAATCAATCAATCAATCAATCAATCAATCAATCAATCAAACAATCAATCAATCAATCAATCAATCAATCAATCAATCAATCAATCAATCAATCAATCAATCAATCAATCAATCAAATCAAATCAAATCAATCAATCAATCAATCAATCAATCAATCAATCAATCAATCAATCAATCAATCAATCAAATCAATCAGTCAAACAATCAATCAATCAATCAATCAATCAATCAATCAATCAATCAATCAATCAATCAATCAATCAAATCAAATCAAATCAAATCAATCAATCAATCAATCAATCAATCAACCAATCAATCAATCAATCAATCACTCAATCAATCAATCAAATGAATCAATCACTCAATCAATCAATAAATCAATCAATCAATCAATCAAATAAATTCAATTCAAATCAAATCAATGAATCAATGAATCAATCAATCAACCAACCAATCAATCAATCAATCAATCAATCAATCAATCAAGCAAGCAAGCAAGCAATCAATCAATCAAACAACCAATGAATCAATCAATCAATCTCTCGATCAATCATCTCAGCCGAACAATCCAATCCAACACAATCTAATTCAAACCAATCAATCGAATCGACTCAAAACTAACAAGCAAACAAACAAGCAAACAAACAAACAAACAAAACAAACAAACAGACAGACAAACAAACAAACAAACAAACAGTCAAACTAACAAGCCGTGACCAAAGAAAAGGAAAAATAACAGGAAACAAACAAAAAAACAAGACCAAAAGACCAAAAAACAAACAGAGCGAGCAAGCAAGCAAGCAAGCAAGCAAGCAAGCAAGCAAACAAGGAACGAAGGAAGGAAGCAAGGAAGGAAGGATGCAAGCAAGCCAGGAAGCAAGGAACCCAAGAAGCAAGCGAGCCAGCAAGCAAGGGAGGAAGAAAATAAGAAAGGAAGCAAGGAAGCAAGAAAGCAAGGAACCAAGGAACCAAGCAAGAAAGCAAGTAAGAAAGGAAGCCAGGAAGCAAACAGCAAAGAAATATGGAAACAAGGAGGCACGGAAGGACGAAAGCGAGCAAGAAAGCAAGAGAGCAAGAAAGCAAGGAACCAAGGAACCAAGCAAGAAAGCAAGCAAGCAAGGAAGCAAGGAAGCAAAGAAGCAAGGAAGCAAGGAAGCAAGAAAGCAAAGAAATACGAAAACAAGGAAGCAAGGAAGGAAGGACGAAAGGGAGCAAGACAGCAAAGAAATACGAAAACAAGGAAGCAAGGAAGGAAGGGCGAAAGGGAGCAAGAAAGCAAACAAATACGAAAACAAGGAAGCAAGGAAGGAAGGACGAAAGGGAGCAAGAAAGCAAAGAAATACGAAAACAAGGAAGCAAGGAAGGAAGGAAGGACGAAAGGGAGCAAGAAAGCAAGAAAGCAAGGAACCAAGGAACCAAGGAACCAAGGAACCAAGGAACCAAGGAACCAAGGAACCAAGGAACCAAGGAACCAAGGAACCAAGGAACCAAGGAACCAAGCAAGCAAGAAAGGAAGCAAGGAAGCAAGGAAGCCAGGAATCAAGGACAAAAGGGAGCAAGAACGCAAGGAAGCACGGAAGCAGGGAAGCAAGGACAAAAGGGAGCAAGAACGCAAGGAAGCACGGAAGCAAGGAAGCAAGGAACCAAGGAAGCAAGGAAGCAAGGAAGGGAAGCAAGGAAGCAAGGAAGCAAGGAAGCAAGGAAGCAAGGAAGCAAGGAAGCAAGGAAGCAAGGAAGCAAGGAAGCAAGGAAGCAAGGAAGCAAGACAACAAACAAAACGAATCAATTGCTCAAGACGGCAAACCTTACGCCTGCCTCAGGCGGAACCAACTAACAAATGGAACCCTGGTGAACCGTTGCCTCCTCCACTGCCAGCGCTTTGGCCACGCAAAGCCTAAAAGTTGCGAAGTGTGGAGCCCCAACTGACATGGAACCTACCAAAAACTGGACAAATTGCAACATGACGCAAACCGAGAATTAGAGACCCCCAAAAAGGAGCCTTCTTCATGGGTGACGTTGCAACCCCCGAATTGTCACGTGGCTATCATTTGCCCGGTCAAAGTGACTTTCAGGGACCTTCCCCAGGTTCCATGGCTGGGCAGCGGGAATAGGGACGGATTATGGCCGGCAAGTTGGCCCATCCGCTGCCACAACCGAACAAAGCCCAACCAGTCCTTTTGTTTGTCTGAGTCTCTGAGGACCACCCGACACGGTGATGCCAAAAAAAAAAACACGACGCGGGCGGCGCTCTCTTTGAAGGTACCCTTTCTGGGCGAGTTGAAGAGGGGGTCACCGTTCTTTGGACCAAACACAGCGCCCCAGAACCCAACTTCCGAGGCTTTACTAGAACTCTGAAATTCATAAACCAGACCAAGAGCCACCAAGCAACCCGGCTAAAATAGAGCAAGCCAGTGGGGAGTTGGGGCGCTGCTCGCTTGTCTTTTCAAAGGCCCCTCTTTTTTGCTGAAAGCAAAACTTTGGAAAGCACTAGTTCTTTATGTCAAATAGTAAATATAGACATCATACCCAAACAAGAAGATTTAGGAAGAAGGGGGGAGTTCGGAAGTTCCCTCAACGGCTCAGCCCCACACAAAGCTTGTCCTCGGAAAACTACGTCACCGGGCACGGCAACCTCAACGCTCGCGCGGTGTCCGTTTCTCCCTGAAGCGCAACCCTGGTTCACGTGGGATGGGCGTAGTCGATGCTCAATTGGTCAGAACTTGATGTGTCGTGGTTAATTCCAAATGCGGGATGATGCCAACATGGACTCCTAAAACTGTTTGGTGTGCTTGAGGCTTGTTTACTGTGAGTAAAACACCGAGGATGTTCCCAGTTGGACATCCACCAAAAGCCCTTTGACTTTGGGTTCCAGATGGTCATGACTTGCATAGCACCTAGCATCTGAACGGTTGGTTGACAACCCAAGTCCAAAATGGTTCCCACGCCAACTTGGGCAAGTAAGGGATCCAACCATTACAAACCATCATGTTACGTCTAGGCCATATATTTCAACCATTAAACAAGGCAGGAACCGAACCGAACCTCCTGCTTTCGGAGAGTCGGCGCTTTGGTTCAATGACCCAGGGCCCTCACCACTTTGGCCGCGCTCTGGATGCATTCTAAACGTTCCTCTTCGTCCCCCTCCTGAGGAGAAAAAGGAGAACACGTTCTGCCACAGGAGGCCACGTCCAGGAGAGTTTCCATAACCCCCTATGCGTATGTATCTGAATATGTATATATATATATACAAATTCCCTGACAAATATATGCAAAGTGGGGGTTGATCAAAAGGTCCTGTACATGGGAAGATCATTGGGGAAAACCACTAAGAAGATGATAGCCATCATGTGACGGCCGTCCTGGGAACGGCTCAGGTTGTTCAGCAGCAGGGTCCATAAGCGGCGCTTCTCCTCGGGCAGACGATGCCCCCCCTTTTGGTTCATCCATACAAACTCTCTTTGCCGGTTGGACCCACAATGGGGGAGATGGGTGTGACTTTTGAGGAGCTGTTTGGTAGACATCATGCTGCATGTGGTTGTCCACCCATCACCCAATGAAAAGTGCTGGGGGTTGTGAACACAGGCGCCTCAAGACACACAGCGTCCCCAATTCGTTGGCTTCATGTTGGCTATCCTTCGAAAGGCACGCGGCAAAGGAAGGATCCCCGACAATGGGCAAGGAACCAGTTGGAGTTGTCTCTCAACCAGGGCTGGGCGTTGGGCCAAACCACTGACCACTGTTGAAACATGTTGAAACCTGAGCTGCTTTTGCAACATCCTTCTCAATTTCGTTACCAGGGGGCCATGGTCTGGTGGTGTCCACACATGTTGCCCTGCCCTCAACCTTCAACTTGCCCTTCATGTCTTTGATCGCCGCTGGTCAACTTCCTCCTGCATTTCTCCACATGGCCAGAAGCGCGAAAGCGGGTAGACGGCACTCTGCTGAACAAGGCTGCTCAAAAGGTTGCTCAAAGGTGACTCGTGGAACAAGCTGGTTCTCAAAGGTGAATTGTGGCAAAGGAGGTGCTCAAAAACTTGGTGCAGGAACTGCATGTCAATGTGTGTGTGTGTGTGTGTGTGTGTTTGTATATGTGCTGCCATGCAATACGCCCGGTTTCAGTGCTTCGGCTATTCCCGGCAATGCTCTCAGTTGTCAGGCAAAGAGACGCTGGAGCAGTCGCACAGAGGCTTGTGAAAGAAATAGAAACTAGCGTGGATTATACGCAAAATGGCAGTCCCAGTTGCTCATGGTTTGGACTGACATCCCCAATTTCCAAGTAAGTCTGCACCTGTTAGGAAACGGTCCTCAAATGAGTCACAATCAAAGCCCGGTATTGCAAATGTCTACCCAAAACGCATGGTCAAGTGTAAAGAATCAAGAAGGCGGACATCCCAAGAAGGCGGACATCCGCAGCTTTTGGCTGGAACTGTCCCTTACTTCATGCGTCCGGGTCTGAAGATTGACGCGCAATGTCGGCTTCACTGCGCTTCGAACGGCCACCGGAAGGGTTCGGCGATTCGACCCATGTGGCTAGGTGTCGGGAACGGGGGTCTGGTTGTGTAAAAAAGATTTTGCCAAACCTGGAAGACCCCGCGTCGCCCAGGTTTTCCTTTCTCAAGACAGATGCCGGGGTTTTTGCCAAGCTCAAGCCTCACAAGTAGATGTACACATCCGTACCCTGGCGTCAAAGGCTGAGCCAGAATTGGGGGCTGTCGAAAGTGGCCTCCGAATGGGGGATCCAAAGAATACCCTCAAAAGACGACACGCCCAAATTGCGTTGTATCGAAATGGGCTACGCAGCTGAAGGCATCGCAGGGGTAAATAACTATTTTGGCAAGGGCAAATGCATGGCTCTCGAATCTCGGGCGCCCAGGTGTTTTCCAACAGCTTGCATGGCACTACAGCAAAGACCAAAGCACACGCGGACATTCCGATTGAACTATTGTTAAAACGCACCATGCCTGCCCGGGGATTGAGTTGACATCGATGTCGCCAGCGAAATAGCGAGCCATTACTCTGCTAATCCTGAGGCGCACCAAAACCTTGCCATGCTGTGCCATGCTAGCCGGCTTGCATACTTGAAGAAACTGGAAAGTTTTTGTGCTGCAGCTTAGTGGTGAATTCCCCCTTTCCATGGCACGATTGCACTTGCACGCCCGCAATATGCTGCTTCCTGAACCCTTAGTGAGGTTTGATAACACCCCCACCACGGTCCCTTCAAACATCTAAAAGTGGGTTCCCGCAGAGACATATTGTGTATGTACATAGATATGCGTGTGTGAGGGATTGGTGGAAGCTCCAAGTCACCTTCCCCAATCATGCTAAGAGGGTCCAACAGCCAGATGGCATGAGGACGAGAAAACCCAAGAGCTGCAACATAGAAAGGTGGATTGGTTGAGTGGTTGAGAGACGCTACAACGACAATATTCCTGAGGCTCTATCCATCACGCGCAAAGAGATACAGAGCATGAGGATAGTGGTAGGAGATAGAATGGATTAGTAGTTGGCTTTGGGAAGGAAGACCAACGGATAGACTGGAAAGAAGGTAAGGGATGGGCCTTCACTCGTTTCCCTGTCCTCGCTTCTCTCGCTCTAGGACAAGCACTCAAGGGTCTGACCCTCGTATGTTTCCCTTTTCCACATCACCCCCAGAGAAAACTCGGCCGGTCCAAAAAGTGGCTACAGGTGACGTAGCACGCTCACTGAGGCCGCGTCGGCAGGCCAAAGCCAAACCCTGCCAGCGGCATGCGGCGATCAAAGTCGCTCACCTCGAAATTCCGACAACCCAACAAGCAGCCCAGAGGGGATGGGTCAAAAATTAAGTACCCCAAAGGGAACTCTGGGAAATGGAAACAAGGACAACAATTCTGCTTCCCCTGGTGGTTTTGCAAAGTGTGATTGAGGCTTGAACACCTTTGGAGCCCAACAAGTACAGCCAATTAAAAAAACGGGGCTTTCGGATTGCAGAGACGGCGACCTTCCATTTGTGGTGGCGGCTCTTTGGGACACACCAATGTCTGCAGCACGCTTCACTGCCAAGCACAAGTCTACAACGGGGTGAATGTAGATGGCACAACTCCATTTACGCGGGTATGTAGAGGGTGTGACTGAACCAAAATGGGGGAATTGAACTGTGCCAGTTGCTTTCACCCAGCTTCAGCTTAACTCAGCAAGCAAGCAAGCACGCAAGCAAGCAAGAAATAAAACAAGCAAGCGGCTTGCAACAAAATGCTGGCCTCAGCAGCTATGGTTGGCCGAGCTTTCACGGAAGAGTAGAAGTAAGAAAAGGCCTTGCGGCAGATTCAAGGCGCAAGGAGCGTGCTCGGTGCACTACTTCCTGCATACTGTGGATGGACAAACCCTGCACCAGCTGGTAGGTAGTTCTTCCAGGATTCTGTCCATCCATCTTGAACAAAACCAAATCGCACTCTCGTATGGCGCGCCTTGCCGAGCACCATGCGGTTCATGCCTGCCATCGTCAATCGAAGGCTCCCCGTGGTCGCTTGTCCATTGAAAGCCACAGAAACGAAGCACCTGTGCCACGATCAGCCAACTTCACAGACCTCTCGTGATCCCACAGCTGCTGTTCCTGGCGGGAGATGGAGAAAAGCGCAGACAAGCGCTGCCTTTGGCAAATACAAAGGTGGGCTTGGACCAAAGGTCTTCCCTCTATTTCGTTTGGATTGAGGTCTCCTATGTACCCTCTACAAGAACCAGGGGTTCAAATCCCCAAGCTACCATCCAAACCACCAACTGTGGAATACCTGAAGAGCAAACAGGTGGCCAATCCCTCTGCTCTGCCCTGGGTGGAGTGGTGCAACGCGCCGGCCTCTGGCACAGTGACCTGAATGGGAGGAATCTCGGCTTTCGCAGGACCTGAAACCGGCGCACGACCCGTTTGTGACCTGGCAGAGTATGAGGGGCAGCGTCATCCTCCAGAAACAAGGGAAGGATCCCCAGCCAGAAAAGACACCCCTACCAGCAAAGTCCTGCAAAGCTGGAAGGCGGGTTATAGTAGTCTTTCTCTTTCTCTTGCTGGTTCTGTTCGTCCTTTTCTATTCTTCATCTTTCGCTCTGTCGCGTCTTTCTCTTCCTCTTTTTATTTATCTTGTCTCTCTCCTCTTTTTATTCCTCTGTCTCTTTCTCGCATTATGTCCTCTTCCTCTCTCTCTACCTTCCTCTCTCTCTCTCTCTCCCCTCCTCTCTGGCTCTCTCTCTCTCTCTCTCACTCTGTCTGTCTCTTCTTCTGTCCGTTTATATTTATCTTTGTCTTTCTCCTTCTCCTCCTCCTTCTCTTTCGCGTTCTCTCTCGCTCACTCTCTCTTTATCTTTCTCCTCCTCTTCATTTGTCCACTTGTTCTTTCTCTCTTTCTCTCTTTCTCTCTCTCTCTCTCTCTCTCTCTCTCTCTTTCTCTCTTTCTCTCTTTCTCTCTTTCTCTCTTTCTCTCTTTCTCTCTTTCTCTCTTTCTCTCTTTCTCTCTTTCTCTCTTTCTCTCTTTCTCTCTTTCTCTCTTTCTCTCTTTCTCTCTTCTCTCTTTCTCTCTTTCTCTCTTTCTCTCTTTCTCTCTTTCTCTCTTTCTCTCTTTCTCTCTTTCTCTCTTTCTCTCTTTCTCTCTTTCTCTCTTTCTCTCTTTCTCTCTCTCTCTCTCTCTCGCTCTCTCCCTCTCTCTCTCTCTGTATCTCTCTCTCCCTGTTTTCTTCTCTTTCTCGGTTTCTTTCCGGTTCTCTCTCTCTCTCTCTCTTCCTCTTTATCTTTATCTTCGTGCTTCTCATTTGCTATTTTGTTTGATTGAATCTTGTTCTTTCTGCTAATCTGTGTCTCTTTTCTGAATATCCTCATCTTGGTTTTCTCCTGTTTTCCTCTCTCCCTCTCTCTCTCGTTCGCTTTGTTTGTCTCTTTGTCCTTGCCTTTCGCTTTCTCTTCATCTTATTCTTAAAGTATTCTCTCTTTCTTGCCCTCTCACTCTCTCCCTCTCTATTATCTCTCTCTCTCTCTCTCACTGTCTCTTCTGCTCCCAAGCAAACGAAAGTTAAAAATGCAAAAACAAAACTCCGAGCTTTTGGAGGCTGACCCCCCGAAAAGTGACAACCGAAAAGAACCTGAGATTCTGAAAGGTCCACCCGCAGAAAGCGCTCGGAGGGTTCGCCATTTCATGGTTGCGCACTCCGCGCGGCCAAGCCACTGGTCCCGTCTCCGAACCCGTTCTGCACATGAGTCGCGCTCGAGGTGGTTTGCACACTCACCGAGCTGAGTTCACGCGTAGGGCCAACAGTTTCTGCCTGTTGTCTGTTTCTTGCTGATTCCCAGTCCTCGCGCTTTCCAGCTGTTTCTTAGTTTTTCACGCGAAGTGCATGCATTCTTAAAGATCGTGTGCAAGTGTTTTCACGTGTATGTATGTATGTATATATATATATATGGAGAGGGAGGGAGGGAGAGAGAGAGAAAGAGAGAGAAAGAGATTCTGCTTCCAGTACTACGGAAGTTGCGTTTAAGCTTCTTTGAGAAACTATCCTGGGTCAACATCATGAGCAGTAAGCAGGGGGAATGCGTGCCACAACCTCAACTACCGCAGCTTTGCCCGCAACCAGAATTGAAATATTTGATTGTGGCCCATAGTGAGCTTTCTGCAAAAGCTCGATTGAGATCGGTGGAGAATTGGCTTGGCTGTTCAACAGGGAGTGTTGGCCAATCCCAATCCACAATCCCTGCTTAAAAAAAGGCACGCCTTTTGTAACCCAACCTGAGAATTTGTGATTGCCTTTGAACAACGCAGATTGGGACCCCCTGAAAATAGAGCCAACTGAAACCAAAAAGCGGTCCCTGGCAAACTCCACCTGAGCCACCTGGGGCCCACACTGTTTTCGTCCAACGACCCCTCCAGCTGCGCTCGCCTGCAAGTCTCTCTCACAATACCCACAACCGCGCAGCTCATTTCTAATGCCCGAAATATTGCAAGTAAACCATACTTGACCAGAAAACCATGGTGAATGAATGTAAATTGGAGGGCTTCCTTGTTCCCTTACTTGCAATAGTTGGGTCATCCACCGTGCCTTCCCACTCTGTCCAGGGACCCTTCTTTCCAGCAAGCCGCCAAAAACACATGGGAAAGCAATATTGGTCTTAAACGAGAATGATGAGCCACCAAAATTGAACAGCACCCAAACCTATTGACTTCCGGTTCTACATGGTCGTCAAGGTTTATCTCGGCCTTGCAATAGCCTTTCTAAAAGCAGGTAGTAACCTAGGGCTTTGGGACCCAGCTGCTCTTGTTCGGTGGCTACCTCGAACGGCACGAGCAAAAAGTCTTTGGCCGAGCAAAAAGGCCGAGCAGGCTAAGGCGCCAGGCTCGATGGAGGCACGGGCCGCATTCTTCACCAACTCCAGGAAGATGTAAAACAAGTGCCTCGAATCGGTCCGTCGAACGTCTCTTCCTCGGGACTGAACCGGGCCCAAATATTAGGTGGTTTGCAAATCTATTTGACTGGACGTGGTTGTTCGGGAATCCACCTAAGGTATTCGGGTGTTTCTGGGCCCAGGCTGGCACCAGCACATGGGTAATGTTGAGGATGTCACTTTATGGAGCTCGTTTGGGCTGTATGCCGAGCCACACGGTTTCCGATATGTTCAACCTAAAAACCTCCCACCAAGAGAAACGCACCTATGAGCAAAGAAAAACGCAGCAAGAGGCAAATGTTGGGACCCCCGAGCACTCCGAGGCCAATCGAGAGCTGTTCGAAAGGAAGGCTCCGTCCCAATTTTGGATCCCGCCAAACATGGTTTGGGAGTGACAACAGCGTCCCAAGAAAGGCATACCCTTGCAGCAAACCTGCACTGCGCACTCGGCTGAGGCAAGCGCGTGTGCACATAAGCAAAGTGCTGCTGTTGGGCACCCTCAAGCATCCGATCACGCGGGCCAACCAATGAGGCATTCCGTGCCCTTGAAACGAGGCTCTTTGAGCAGGCGACTTTTGTTTGCCGGAATTGCGGGCGAGCAATCAATCCCACCCACGGTGAAGCGGATATCCGCATCACCCAGTAGGACTAGTATCCATTGAGAGTGGCTCGGATGCCTTTGGCAGGTGAAACCTTCGGAAGAAGGCGCCCTTTGGCCCGCTCGGAAGCGAGGCATGTCGCACAAAGAAACCCGCGAAACTCTTAAAGGAGTTGCACAGGATATAGCGTGTCAAGCTGGGGACTGGGATCGGGATCCGAGAAACGAAAGTCCCCAGCTTTGGCACTCCGAATTGATCCGGGCAATTCAGCCATGCTTTCTGCGAGCCGCGACTGAAGAACAAATTCAAGTGAGCAGCGCCCAAACACACTCGAATTCTTGCTTCCACCACACGCGAATCGCAGACATTTCCAACGACTCCCGGATTGTTTGACTTTTTTTGCGGGGCAACAACTTTGGTCGCCGCGCTCAAGTGTACACTGGAATGTGATCATGCGAGCAGAGCTTCGAGTCAGGCTTTCTGGGTACCGCAGGCAGGGTCCTGAAGGCACCTCGGATGGGAGGTTATCCGTGTTCGGCAATGGTATTTCTCAAAATGGCGGACTCTCTATTGGCGTTTCGAGGGAAGCAAAACGAAACCCTTGTCTTTTTGGAGACCTATTCTGAGAACGCCCCCAATATGGGTTCAATCAAAGGTCTTCCCTCAATTCCCGCAGCACACCAAAGCGGGGCAAAGGCGGTGTTTGGGTCATGTGAGGGTTGGATGGGATTGAAAATTGAGGATCCTCTCTCAAAACGGGTCAAAACAGGCCGAGCAACCGCTTTCAAACCCACTCGGAAACTGGCCGGCTCAGGGAGGGAGTCACTGGATTTCCGATCTCCGCAAATCAAAAGCTGCAGTTTGGTGGGTTCCCACAAACATTTGCCACTTGAGGTTCAAAAACGGGAAACCCGGCCCCTTTGGCCTCCAGCTTAAGCCTTTAAGCCCCACACTGCCAGTCGTCAGGGAGGATGACCTGCGCTTGGAGTTGCTTGGTTCTGATATGCCGTGGAAAAGCAAATGCCAGAATGCTAACCTTTGGGGTTCGTCATCCCCCCAATAAGCCTGCAAGGGGATTGTGCCATCTACTCCCGGAAAACAACAACTTCCATGCACCACAAAAAGCAAACTGGGAGTATCTCACCCCAGCAAATCGAAGCTTCGTTTCGAAGGCGAGCGGAAGTTCGGACATGTGGTGGTCCTTCCCTAGGTCACCCCGACCCCAACCACCTGGACCTAGGGAGAGCTCCTGACCCAAATGCTCATGTCGGTCAAGGGGGTCCAATCAGCTTCCCTCAAAACGAGTGGTTTGGATTGATGCTATGGAGGTGTTCCGAGAGTGGGAATCCAAGGCGGGTGGGCGATTCAAGGATCAGGACCCCTGAAAACAGTACGAAAGCCGATCTTGTGCTTTGACCGCAAGACGTTTCCAAGCTCAATGCTCCAGCCCCAACGCCTCAAATGTTGCTCCGACGATACTGGCGCCACTTGATTCAGCTGCAGCCGCATCATCAGTTCCTGCAGGGAGGAAGCTTCGCCCCCGAGACCAGAACCGCACAAAAAAAACCCTTCAAAGCACCACGCAATGCCCTAGCTCAAGCAATGGACAACTCTAAATGGCAACAGGAAGTTGCAATCTCTTCGGTCCGTCCCGAATGGGAATCAGAGGACGCTGCCATGCAGTGCTGGGCATGAAATAAAGAAAATGCACATGTCCATCTTCACTGGCTCTGCTGGGTGCAGAAGTCACCAAGCAGCTCTATTTCGCGCTTCCTGTCAAAGAGTCTTACATGCATTGTTGAGGGAAGGGAACATGCAGCGTGCGGCGAGCAGGACCGTCCTGTTGTTCCTGCATCATTTCCTGGGCGCAAGCATTCCGGCAAGCCGGAAAGGCAAGAATCTGAGATTCAAGCACCGTTGTTCTCTGTGTGGGTGTGCCCGCGATGGCTCCAATCCATGTAGCCCTACACGAAATTTTGTGTACGAAGCTAGTTGAAAGGAAACCTGGATTCGATCACCCACACTACAACGACTCCTGATCGATGTCTGGTCGTTTCTTCGACTGTCAAGCAAGCAGCAAGCCAATACAGCCGTGCGACCCACAGGCCGTAGATCTGCCTTAGGAATTCAACCGCAAAAGCAGGAGGCTGTCCGTAGCCATAGCATAGAAAGAATTACAGGACACCGTGTCGTTGTGTGAACCTAAGCAAGTGCCTAGGTCCCTCCCAAATTGATCGTAGACTTCTGACTACTGAGTTCACCTCAACGTGGCTGAATTGAAAACCAAACAGCCTCCGAGTCAGGAAAACGCAAGCAGAGCCGCTCGCTGATCTCGTCCAGTCGGGAGTGCAGTGTCTCTTCCAGGTCATCCTGCCGGCTGGACCATTCCGAGACCTTGTCCTCAGCTTCGCAGGGTCCAACTACCCGAGGTTCGGTTGGCTTCGGCACCTGGGATTAGGTTCAATTGCCCATGGCTTTCCTAATCAGTGCGGGCCAGTTCTTGGATCATTTGGGCAACAATTTGCCATGTAACTTCAGGGTGTAGAAAAAAATCGTTGCCGACTGCCTCAAGGAAAGCACCGGAAGGGTGGAAGTGTGGTTGGATTGGACATAAGCACACAGCGTTTATATGAATTGCCGTGAATACTGACGGACAAATTCCTGCGATTAATGATCGTCTATGAGTACCGGGGTCGACCACCTACCAACGGATGCAGACTTTTGTCCAAGAATGTGGTACATTGCAGGGGGTTACGCTAGCAGTCTTGATCATCTTAAGTAAAGATGACAAAATGTTGCATTGCGTTGGACGGTTCCAATGCATCTTGATTTGTCAGGAATGTCATGTTGCATTATGTTTGGCAAATATGCCACTGCGGTTATATAAAATTGCCTCACTATAGAAATCAAATGTGACATTAGACATCTCTCCAAATGGGTGATACCAGCGGTAACACCTAGATGCGCGGTGTTCTGCAAATAGCGTCACGATGCCTCACACACTGTGAGATGAAAACAAAGCAACGGCAACACAAGCTAATCTAGGTGCAAATACCTGCACCGAGGGTGGTGCTTTCTGTTCGCCCCAAAAGGGTCAAAACACATTGCAACCCGTCACCAACTTGCAAAAATGGGAAGACACAGGCATACAGACTTGACTTGCCTCCTAACCTAGCGGGCCGGGGGAATGGTTGGCTTACACGTGGTTTCCTTCAAAAGCATCCACAAACTGGGCCCCGAAATTTTGGGAAGCATCTCGTCCCGTCGTCTCGTGTTTCCCGCTGAGGGGTGTCCAATTTTGATGTTCTGGTCGCCCATCTCTTTCAAGGGACCCTTTCAGGTAGTTCTCCTCTAACAGGAGCCTCAGGGACCCCACGCTTCTTGGGCCGTTGAAGCAACCAGACCCTCCACTTAGGGAAACCCAGCAGGTTCCATCCATGGCCCTCAGCAAGGGGGTGAATCGCCCGGCCCGGCGTAGCCTCAATGGACTCAAACAACTGGAGCCCGAGCCAAAATGGTACAGCAGAAGGGCTTCTTGATACCCGTGCCTATTTGTGGCAGCTATCCCTTCCATTTTGAGCAAGTGACCCATTTCCAATTGAGTTCTGACCCAACAGTTTCGAATGCGTCCAATCATGGAGTCCAATCGTGGGTAAGTGAAGATGAGGGAATTCTATTGCTCGAGTTCAGGAGTTATGGAGTTTCGAGACTTCCATTGGGAATCGTTCATCCAAGCCACTCCAAGCTTCGAATCCGCAGCCGAGACTGCAGCTGCGGTGGCCTAAGACACCGGCAATTCACGCTTGCTTGCCCTTTTAAAATCGGCCCAAGGGCATTCGCTGAGAATGCCTCCTGCCATGCTTAACACATCAATGACCATGCTTTTTTTGGGTAGCCATTCCGTGGACATACACCCCTAAATGAACCCGGCTCCTTTTGAAGCATCATCAGACCAAACTACCAACTAGAAAGATTGAGTGCGTTTTTTGGGTCCTACTCTGGATGGACGAACTCCTGCACCACTTCGAAAGCATGGGAAGCCATTGTTTGTTGGTAATTTACCGGGGAATCGAATCATTCCAGGATTTCTTAGGCGATGCGAGAAGGGGATTTCGCAACCATCCACGGCATGTTAACTCGCTTGCTTTCTGCTCCCCTGCTAAAAGCTTAACTTTTAGTGGCTTAATTGGAAAACCCATTAGTTGGCAAGAAGTTGAAGTCCTAACATCCCTTGGCAAAATGCGCCAAAGCTAAGACAGACCCATCTGGACCCTGCCGAAGCACGGCCGCCGCAGCATCCATCGGGGAGTACCAGGCCACGGCGGCGGCGGCCCCGGCGTCCGGCGCGGCCCGCTTGGTTAAGTGCTTCTCCTGAAAGTTTTAATCTCAGGGAAACAAAGCAGGATGAGAACCTGGTGTTTACCCTTGACAAGGTTCTCATTGCTTCCCTGAATTTCCCCAATTTCAAATACCACAGTCCAGAAAACATGGTGGCTCGAAATGTTGCTCCCCTGAATTTTGAATAAGAAAGTCCAGCATTTTGAGAAACACCTAAAGGTCTTCGGAAATGTCTGGCTGATGGGATGCTATTGTACTCTGCCCCCTTCCCTGCTCTTGCCTGTCCAGTCTCTTGGTAGCTGGTTTGGGGATTCAAAGGGGGGCTGAAGGTCGGAGTTTCCTGGAACTTTCCAAAAGGAAAAAAATTGCCAACCTTCCACATGCCTTTGGGGCTGTCTGTGTCGGGTCTTGGAAAACCGTTGGGGACCAAGTAAATGGTAAAATAAACATCTGCAAGGAAATTAAGGGTCGGAAAAGCAGGGTCCCCGCTTCCCTGGAGCTGCAGAAAAATATATTTCGTCCCAAAAAAATCAGCTCGCTCCTTCCGCCGCTTCTCCCCAACCGTCCCTGAGGACTTTCGCTTCGCAGCGTTGTACTGCATGTTGATCAGACGAGCGCCATCCGCGATGCTGGCGGCCACCTCATCCATACTGTCACCCTTTTTGAGAGCTTTCCTCTTGTCCGCCTCGTTCTCTGGCCAGAGCTGCTTGTTCCAAGCGGAAGATGGAGACGCGCTGGTGAATTCCTGCCTCTCACGTTCCCGATCTCTTTCCTCAAGGGTAATTGCGGCAAGCCGCTTCACCCCTCGGATGACGATGTACTTCACCACAATCTGAACAGGGTCTCTGGCTCTACCCTCAGCTCATCTATATTATATAATCACCAGGCCCTTGCTTTCAAACCACAAAGCACACCCTTGGACATATTCAACCTTGCTCGGCCTTGAGCTTCGTTTAGCAAAAACACTGACTCGAGAAAGTGTCAAGATCTACAAACGAGCCCCATATGGATTGCAACGGAAAAGGTGAGTCTTTTCGTTGACCGCTTTGGGCTTTGTCTCAAAGGGAAACCAAAAGGAAAACCCTAATTTGGGGGTCGCCATGGGCCTGCCGCAGCACTGCGGCATGCTCGGGGAAGTTGTCCAGCACGGCGTCGAAGCCGCTCTTCACGAGCTCTTGCACCTCCAAACCAACCCAGGGAAAGCCTCAAACTTGGGTTCATGGTCTGCCTTTTTGAGACCCCGACAAAAAATGCTTGGTCTTCTTGTAGTTCCCCCTGAAAAAAGAAGGAGGCAACAACAAGGGTACCCTCAAAAAAAAAAAGAATGAGCAGGCCTTTCCTTCGTTGGCCCATTCACAGGTGTTTTCGCGTGGTCGACCTCTGGTTTTTGGTGTGTGTGTGTGTGTGGTGCTTCAATTTTCAGGAAACCCCAAGGCTCCCTACCACCAACTCATTCGAGGAAAGCTCTTTGACAGAAGGCAGCAAACCCATCCTCATTCATTGGACAACCACTACAAAAAGGGCCCTTTCCTAACCCAATGGATCTTGGAAGTTGCCTCTGAGCAGCCAAGTAAAGCCGCCTGGCCGGGCCTCAATGAGGGCCCAAACATCCCGCTTCGATGAAGCACTTGATGCCCAACGTTCCCCTGTTTTGATTAGTTTGGGTACTTGTCACAACAGGGGCCAAAACTAATGGTCCTCTTGTGCTCTTGAAACCAACCTGATTGAAAATGTATGTACCCTCCAAAGCCGCGGAGGTGCGTGAACCGTCGCCTCAACCACCGTCAAACTCACCGCGATGTTGCTGGCCACTAGGTCCGGGTTGGACAGCAACAGGTGGTCCTGTCAAAAGGCCAACCTTTTTTCAGGATTTTTTTCCAGCGCGTTTGGGATTATTGTTCCGTTCCATTTTCCGGTCACCTTTGGAGTGGCTTAAGGTGGGTCTAGGGCGCGCTTAGGGCTTAGGGCGGTTGGGGGTGTTGGTTTGGGCGGCTTGGGTTGAGGGTATGATGGAGCTTGGGTTGGCGCAAGGTTGGCGATTTAAGGTGGGTTTAGTGTGGTTCTGGTAGTTTAGGGTGGGGTTCAGTGTTGGTTGCGTTTAGGTTTACGGCCTAGGCTTAGGGTAGGCTTCGGGTAGGTTTAGGTTGGGTTTAGTTGGGTAGGTTTAGGATGGGTTTGGGGTGGGCAGGTTATTGGTTTAGGGTAGGATGGGTTTAGGGGTGCTTTCGGGGTTGCCGTCATCCAGGACGTCCTTGGTGCACGAACCGCCCCCTTCACGAGGATACTTGGCGGTTGCCGTAGTGAAACAGGCCAGGAGAATGAAAGCAAGTTTAGGGCGGGTTTTGGTTTTGGCTTTTTGGGGTGGGTTCAGGTTCAGGGTGTGTTGGGGGGTTGGTTAAGGGTGGACTTCGGGGTCCGTTCAAGGTTGGCTTAGAGTGGGTTTAGGGGTTCAGAGTTGTGGGTTTAGGGTGGCGTGATTCTGGGTAGGTTTAGAGTTGGCTTAAAGCTGGTCTACGGCTGCTTTAGGTGGGTCGGTGTAGGATTGGTCTAGGGTGGGTTGAGATCGAGTTGTGCAAGCAAGCAAGCAAGCAAGCAAGCAAGCAAGCAAGCAAGCAAGCAAGCAAGCAAGCAAGCAAGCAAGCAAGCAAGCAAGCAAGCAAGCAAGCAAGCAAGCAAGCAAGCAAGCAAGCAAGCAAGCAAGCAAGCAAGCAAGCAAGCAAGCAAGCAAGCAATGAAGCACCCTTAACTCCCCCGGCATACTTTTAAACACAACAACACCTACCCCACACCTGCCCCGACCCACCTCAGACCCTAAACGCGCCCAAAACCCACCCTTCACCTACCCTTAACCACCCAAAACGTTCTGCCTTGAACCCTAAAAACGCACACCCTAAACACCCGATCCGAAACCTTGCTTGCTTGCTTGCTTGCTTGCTTGCTTGCTTGCTTGCTTGCTTGCTTGCTTGCTTGCTTGCTTGCTTGCTTGCTTGCTTGCTTGCTTGCTTGCTTGCTTGCTTGCTTGCTTGCTTGCTTGCTTGCTTGCCCGGGGGACTGGAAAAAAAGAATCCCTAACAAATACAGCACCCCTGTCCAGAGCTGACAGGACTAGTGTGGCGAGGGAACTAAATATGAATTTGAAGGGACATAACACGAGAGAAAAAACACGCTTGGGTCATGCCAGAAAAGAACACTGAGGATCTTGGAAAAGCATCTCGGGTTCAACTTTGAAGGAATGTGTCCCGTAAAAATGCTGACCGCCTAAGTCGGAACTGGTCTTCCAATCCAGGGCTTCATGTTTGGAGACTCAAACCCCCACAAAAATCAACCCTCCTGCTGCTTGGATCTGCAAGGGTCTTTCTCCAAAAACGCCAATCAACCAATTCTCCACAAATGATGCGGCTTTTCCTTTAACTTCACTCACCCAAAAACAGGGGCCGATCCGAATCCACCCGCGTCCCGTTTCGCGCCTCGCCCCACACAGTACCCGGCACCAGGATGGAGAAGTTAGTGACCCGAGAGGCGGCGCCACCCATCATGATGTACATGTGAAACAGCTGGCCAAAGTGCTCCTGGCCAGCCAAGTGCCGGGTGTTTGACGAAAAAAGCAGTGGGTGCTACTATTGAAAAGGCGGGTAACGGATTTATGAGCTAATGGATGTTGATTTAAAGCCCATGTCCCCAGTGCGTGGGGCCAAGGTGCTCCTGAACTGGGCCAAAGCGCTCCTGCAGAGCGCAACGGCGTGATGTTGCGGCTTGATGTTTTCCCAATATCAAAAGGCTTTATGGTTCTGTGGCGGCATCTTTAGGATTTCACATCCCCTCAGCCCACCTTCTGTATTCCTTCGAATCAAGCCCTGACATAAGCCAGGGTTCCATGTGGAGTTCCCTTGGACCTAAATGAACTGCGCTGGAAATGTTATGGGGATATTTCCGAACCCAAATTCCTTCTGAAGCCAAGTCTGGGGCTCTTTGAGCCGATGCGCCTCCCTCCAGTACGTTCGACATGTGTGCGTGTCAACATAGTTCATCAGGGGTCGGGTCACGCACCCTCCCTTGTCAGCTTGCTGAGTCAGAATGAAGAGGTCTACCATGTCTTGCACAACTCCATGGTAAAGAATCAAACGGCCGGTAAGGTTTCTGGCACCGTCCCCTAGTAACCTTCATCCACCATCAGTTGTGTGTGGCGATCCGTCTCCGGGCTTTTGCTCGCGGACCATGGCTAAGGCATCGCTGGAGCTCCAAAGCCATTGGGCCAACTTCCGCATGCGAGCGCAGCAGCTCGGCTGGTCTCAAGGAAGGACAGACATGTTGGCACGGACAAATCCTACCAGAAGTTCCATGTTTGATTTCCTGAAAGGGGTAACGGTGCAATTGTTGCAGTTACTTGCGGAGCGGTCGCAAGGAATAAACAGAGTGCAAAAGAAGGAAATTGCACACAAGACTAGCAGCAAAAACAGGATCGAACAGATCATGGCACAGACCAGTGGAAAAACTTAGGTTTGGCGGAGAAGCAGCATCACGCAAAACGGCGGCTTCTCCAGTTCCTCTGCAGTGGATTCACAAACCAGCAAAGCAAACACAAGCCGATTGCTCCTTTCGACATCCATGAAACTCACCTCACATCCCAAGGCGCTGCCAAAGGAAAACACGTCTTTGCACTGAGGACATCACCAGCAACTACGGGTCCCAACGCGAAAAGCATTGAAGGGGCCGCTCGAGCGGTTCGGGCCGATTCGTTCTCCTGCTCCCCGAACATGCGAATCTCCAGGATCTCTGCGATGCAGGTCAGGAAGCTGGTGGAGCACTTGTCGAAGAACCTCACCTTCTTCACCCAGTGCACATTCACCTAAGGGTCAACCAGTTCAGTTCAACAGCATGGAAGGCTGTACGCAGTGGTTGGCAGGCGCTGATTTGACCTGTCTCTGAGATGGCTTCCGGGTTTCATGGGATATGCAACCACTATACTGCCACGAAATAAATCGTTTTTACCTCATTCTTCTTCTGTGGGGTAGTGGTTTGGGGGTAGTGGAAGCCATCTGACAGTTTGGGTACGTGTCCATGAGGCTTTCTGAATCGAACCCACGCCCTTGTTTAAACAATGGTTTTAGCCAACTGTTTGAATCTTCCCCCACGGTCCACCAGTGCAGGTCGTCAAATCGCAGGGGGCAAATATTACGACAGTCTCCACAAGAGGGCAGCCGGGCCCCAGCAAATCGGCGCGGGTCCCCGATCAATCCTGTTGGCTTCCCTTACCAACCGACAAAAGGTCCCTCAATCAACACACACCAATTTGGGTTTATCTCCAATAAATGGGAACCCCCCAAATTAAGTGGTCTCCCTTTAAAACTACAAGGCGGTTCGCCAATCCCACAGTCTCCAATGCCCTCCAGGTTGTGAATATTCCCGTTTGACTCGTCTTTACCGCCAAGACGGGGCGCCCGATTCCTTTTGGAAAGAAACCGCCCCGCGCGCCTCTCGGTATGTGTCGCGCCGAAGCTGCGGGGACATGCGGTTCAGGATCTTCTGCCAGGCCTGAACTTCAGACCCAGACCCGCAAAGAAGAAATATGACAAGTCAGCCGGAGCCCTTGTCACCCCAAATTCTCACCCTTCCCCCTTGCTTTGTGTCTTCGGTCTCTATCCGCGCCTCGTACTCGTGCTGCGCTGTGGACCGCAGGAAGAACTTCCTGAGCCGGATCTTCATGTCCCGCGACAGGTTCAGCCGATCCTTGAGGCCGGGGGTCAAAGCAACGGAAGTGCTGCTTGCTCTGGTGGAAACAAAGCGGGATGGGTTGAAAGGTCAAATTGTTCCAAAAGGCCCCTACCAACTATGTAGAAGCTCCCAGAAGGCCACTGTGAACAGGAAAAAGCCCTTCAAAGTCTTGGAAGTTAAGGTTTCTCTTTCTTAGGATCATTGAAAATTCGAAGGATCACTCCAAAGGATCCCAAGAACAAAGCCGAACCCCAAATCCCAAAAAGCGAATCGCGAAGGCCCAAGGCTCGGCGATGGTGTTCAAATCGTCCATGGTCTGCTGGTGTGCCAGCTGGTGAGCATTCAGCGACGATGCGATAGCGGTGGACCGGCTGATCACTTGGGTCCACATGAACCCCCCGATCAGCAGGAGCCTGACTGATCGACTTCCTGCAACTTGACTTGACTTGTTGTTTTGATGGGAAGATGCTGGAAAACAAGAAAGGATGAAGGTGCAAATGGCAAAAGCTGAAAAAGGTACCTTAGGTCTGGCAATGTAGCAAGGTGAAAAACAGGCGCTCGCCAGTGCCGGTCGCGTCGTAGGCATGGGGGTGCACCAAGATGGTGATGCCAGTATAAAACGCCATAACGTATGCCTCGATCGATCCCACTGCAAATGGGAGGGGAAGCCTTCTTGATTCCATGAAAATGGTCAAATTATGGGGGTTTCCCACTGAATACTCTACTTAAGGTGTGTTGGAGAAGGTGCATTTAGGGCTGGATTGGAGGCTGTTGTTGGGTGGAGGGGTGGGGTTGGGTTTGGTTTTCGGCAATCCTATGCTTGTCAAGGGGCCCAACCGCAGAAATCCCCACCTAAAACACGTCCACCAAAGGGTCCCCAGCTAAAATTCATAGCCTGCTTTCTTGCTGGGACCACTGTTTTTCTGAAATTTCATTGAGGCCCTTGATCGGCAACACACCTTCTCATGGATGTCCAGATTGCACATCACTGGTTTCCAAATTAGGCAACGAACCTCGAACGATGGTCTTTGGGTTAGAGGCTCCATTCCAGGGTGTCAACCAAACAGAAACCAAAAACCGGCCACCGCAGCAGCTCGTGGCTTCTTGGGGGTAAAACGCCCCCGCTTCTGTCACCTTCATGGATTCGTTCACACGTTCCTTTGCCCACCTCCACACAAATGACGGACGAAATCGTTGTGACTCCCTCCGAAAGTCATTCGAGCCTGGCTGTGAGCATTGAAACTGTATGAAACAGCACATTAAGAAAAAGATGCCAGGAACCGTTCAAGTGGTCTTTGCATCGTTTTACAGCTGAGCTGACTCAGTCCGAGCTCTGTCCGGGCCTCTCTAAGCGTTCTCTTCTCTCCCTCCGAGCCGCGTCGAAGACCTCGATCTGCGGAGTCTCCGCCCAGTCCCAGCCGCCGTAGGGCCGCAGGCCCTCGGTGAGCCACGAGGTGGAGCATCCGCCCTGGAGATCTGCGTCCAGGTCCAGGGCGCTGCACACCTCGCCCCTCAGATCCATAGGCGGCGGCTTCGGCGGCCTTTTTTTTCTCGCTGAAATCATGGGTGTCTATGAAAAACTGAACCCCTCCCCCCAAAAAAAATAGTAAAATAATAATAATAATAGTTCACAGATCCAGCGGGATGTGGTTTTGGTGGTTTTTCTCTGCCACATGGCGCTGAACATGGGCTGTTTCCTGGGACCCAATCCTTGTGTATCTCCAAGGGGTTCTATCAAAATCAAAAGCACCCCCCAAAAACAAATGGGACGTGTCCTTGTGGATTTTGTGCAAGCCCCTGGCCCATCGGAGTGGAACTGGCGCAAGCCAAGTGATTTCAGGCAAACCATATTTGCACGAACTGCCGAGCCCTCGTACCATGAAAACAAAACCCAAAAGGAGATTCGAACAGTTCGGTTTAAACTGTAGGGCGTCTAGGTTAGCCTTCAGTAGGTTTACCTCTAGGTTTTATCATGGATGTGCTGACCTGGTTACCCATAGTAACTGGAAGCACTACACACATTCTAAAAAAGTGGGTGGATTTGGGGAAGGTGAAACAACAAGGAACTGAAAGCGTTCTATTATTTTTTTGTTGGGGGGTGAACAAAGTTTAATTGTCTCTTCTGGAGGTCTCCTCAAGCTTTTGTCTGGACACTCAGCCTGTACCCTGGACGTTTGGGTGGTAGAGGGAAACCAAAAGGAAATGGGCAATGTTCCACATTACAAACCCTGACTCTGAGGATTTGCGAACATGAGCGATAGCAGCATTTGCACGCTGAAGTGGCACACCCGCGCCACTTTAGAAAAATGAAGAGCCCTCAAAATTTCTGCGTTGCGCCGCGCAAGCACGTTCAAATGGTTCGCTTTCAGGCCAAGCTGCTCCATCTGAAACTTATGGATGATACCCAAGGTGCAGGCGAGCCAGTGAGATACAGCAAGCACAGAAAAAAAGAGGAAGTAGAGCGTGGATTTTCGGTACGACATTCCGAATTCTGCTTGGTAGCGTCGAACCACCCGAACACCTGGACAGAGTGTCACGTGCTCATGCTAGGCGAATGCCACGTGTTCATGCTGGACTTAGTTGGTATCTTTTGGTTTCCGTCTGCAACAATCCAAAAAAGGGTTCACATTTCTTTTGGGTTTGTGTCTTTTCACGGGTATCGTTTTCTGGTTGACTCAATGGGAAACCAAAAGGAAAAGACACATTTTTTGTAGGGGCAGGGGTCACTTATTTTGAGGAGCCATCCCGAAATCTGAGCACCACGCACACTTGACTGTTGGTCCTAACACTTTTGGGCCTTTCTATAAAGCTTATGAAACCAAGTAGTAGAAACAATGATGATCAGACAAACACGGTTGGGAATGTCTACAACCCCTGAACGAGCCTCGGTTTCGGGCCCTGCTCATTTGGCTGATTTTCTTTGTTTGGATGGTGCCCTTCCATTCATAGCCATGTAGCTGAATGCAAAGTGAAACCCCTTTTGTGTGCGGTAAGGGAAACCTGAGACACGCATGCCGCACCGGCCTCGAGCCAAGCGCAAGAGCTTCAGTAGCCTTCCAGCGCCCGAGAAATGGGGCCCTTTTTGAGGAGTCCCCTAACAAACATATGTTTTTTTGCGGACCCCTCAAAATGGCGATTGTCATTGGCAATTGTCATTTTGGGTTTTCCTGTTTCTCCATGCAAAACGGGGCTCCGAACAAATAAATGCACCCTTTCTGCCAATTGCAAGCAAACACAAGCTGGGAAATTGTCAAAATTACGGGACCTTTTTGGTGTCAAAAGCGGGACATGACGGCACCAGAGTCCAGACAGGGGCCAATATGTTTGACAAACTCCCTGTGTGTTGTTGTTGCAGCTCTTCTCTTGTTGTTTGCTGTTGTTCTTGTTGTTGTGGTGGTGGCGGTTGCGCAGTGGCGACGGCGGCGACGGCGGCGGCGGCGACGGCGGCGGCGGCTGCTGGTGTTGTTGTTGTTGTTGTTGTTGTTGTTGTTGTTGTTGTTGTTGTTGTTGTTGTTGTTGTTGTTGTTGTTGTTGTTGTTGTTGTTGTTGTTGTTGCTGTTGTTGCTGTTGTTGCTGTTGTTGCTGTTGTTGCTGTTGTTGCTGTTGTTGCTGTTGTTGCCGTTGTTGCTGTTGTTGCTGTCGTTGCTGTTGTTGCCGTTGTTGCTGTTGTTGTTGCTGTTGTTGCTGTTGTTGCTGTTGTTGCTGTTGCTGCTGCTGTTGTTGTTGGTGGTGGGGGTGGTGGTGGTGGTGGTACGCGTTCCAGCGCACACCCGCCACACTGCCCACATGCTGGCACATGGTAAGCACACTGCCCACACGCTTGCACATGATAAGAACACCCCTGTGTTGCAGGAGCTCTTTCCCTTTTTGTTAAATTGTGCTTTTCAAGGATGATGTTGGGGCGCCCCCGGTTCCTGCTTTTTAAGCAGCTGCAGCAGTGTGTGGGAGGAGCTCTTGCACTTTTTTTAAAAGCTCCCCAGTTCTTCCGGGGATGATTTTGTGGCGCCCCCCGGTCCCTCCAAAAAAACCAGGTTGTTTGAGCAGCTCGCAGACACTGACAGTGCAGCAGTGTGTTATGTTGGCCATCTGAATTAGAAAAGAACCCTTTTTTCCTGGGATGATTTATGATTTTGGGGCGCCGCCCGGTTCCTGCTAGAAAGCAGTTTGCTTAAGCAGCTTGCCGAGCTTGACATTGCAGCAGTGTGTGGCAGGAGCCCTGCCTTTTTTGAAAAAAAACTTCAATGCCTGGTCAGTGGCCGCATTTCTTGAGTGTGGCTCTAGGTCAAGAGGGCTCCTCTGTTTTTCAGTCAATGGCGACGCCTGCGGCGGCACATGTTGTCCGAGCGTAGCCCTTGAAACTGGCTTGGCCCGGTTCTCTGCGGAGAACGGTGGCTCAGAGGACAGCTGGGCTGAAACCTGAAAGCTATCGGGGGAAAAAAATGTGCTGAAGGAGTTTCGATCGAGGACTTTGCCTTTGTTGTTGGAAGCTTCGGGGGGTGTGTGCGGGCTGCGGCGGCACCATGGTGCGAGCCAGGCAATAGGCGTCCTGCAGCGACGATTCAGCTGGTGCGCGTGCGCCCGTTTCCGTTGCCAGAGCCAGTGGAAATGCCGCAGCACGTGTCTTCCCAGCAACAGGTGTTGCTTTGCTTTGGCGTTCCGTGGAGGGACGCGGCGAGCCAGTTAGAAGCAGCGGTCCTGGGCGCTGCTGTGACATCCGTGCAGAGATGTCTCCCTTGTTTTTCTCACTCGTTTGGCTGTCGGGAGTTTTGGATGGAGTGGCTCAGCCACGCCGATGATGCGGCGATTGCGCTGCGCGGCCTTCTTTCACTGCTAAGACAGTGCGCAGGCACTAGTGTGTGCTCTAGCTCAATAGGAGGGAGCGAGAGCTATCTGCCTCAGCAGCTTGCAGAGCCTGACATTGCAGCAGTGTGCTGTGTGAAAGGTGCCTCGGCCAATGTTTTAAAAGACTTTTTCCCGAAAGCATCGCGAAGGGCTCTTCCGCGCGGAGCTCTCGGACCAACTTGCGTAGAGTCACTTGCGCAGAGTCAAACACATAGAGCCAAGTGCGTGGAGCCAAGTGCATAGAGCCGTGCATAGAGCCAAGTGCATAGAGCCAAATTGCATAGAGCCAAGTTGGAGTGCAAATAGAGCCAAGTGCATAGAGCCGAGTGCATAGAGCCAAGTGCATGGAGCCAAGTGCGTAGAGCCGTGCATAGAGCCAAGTGCATAGAGCCAAGCGCATAGAGCCAAGCGCATAGAGCCAAGCGCATAGAGCCAAGCGCATAGAGCCAAGTGCATAGAGCCAAGTGCACAGAGCCGAGTGCATAGAGCCGAGTGCATAGAGCCAAGTGCATAGAGCCAAGCGCATAGAGCCAAGCGCATAGCGCTTCGGCTATGTAAGTTACGTTTAGCTTTCTAGGGCGCCGGGGCAGGACTTTGATCGTCGATCGGGTTTGCGACCCTCTGCGGGGATCGGCGTGGTCGAGGTACAAAAACTGGAGGTTTTTTGCGATTTCTGATCTGCCCGCGCGTTTTTCTGCGGGGATCGGCAGAGGAAAAGGTGCAAAAACTCAAGGTGTCGTGGTCGGGGTACAAAAACTCGAGGGTTTTTTTGCGATTTCTGATCTGCCCGCGCGACCCTCTGCGGGGGTCGGCGTGGCGCAAAAACTCGAAGGTTTTTGCGACTTCTGATCTGGTCGAGGTACAAAAACTCGAGGTATTTTTTGCGATTTCTGTCTGCTTGCGCAACCCTCTGCGGGGATCGGCGTGGTCGAGGTGCAAAAACTCGAGCTTTTTTGCGATGTCTGATCTGCCCGCGGGACCCTCTGCGGGGGCGTGGTCGAAAAAACTCGATGTTTTTTTGAGTTTTTGCGGTGCGCGGATGAACCCTCTGCGGGGATCGTGCGCGTCGACGCGCTCTCGCTGCGGCGCCGTGCGAATTCGTTTTAGTCTTGGCGAACCCTCTGCGGAGATCGTGCGTGTCGAAGCGCTCTCGCTGTGGCGCGTTTTATTACTCGCGAAATGGCCTTTGGAAGTTGTCTCGTGGTTTGCGCGCCTGCTTTCGCAATCGCGCGGCCGCGGGTTCGATTCCTCCTTGGTCCGCGGCAGCTCCGGCTTAAGCAAAGAGCCGCAGTATGTGGAGTGTACTCCTGGCGGCTCCGACCGGAAAATCGCAACCCTGAAGCGCAGACGTATAGTGCGCGGAGCACCTCCGCAGCTCAGCTCAGGCTTGCGCACAGATACAAGCGCCGAGCGTCTTGCGGAGAGAAACTTGCACAACATGCAGAACAGCTTGAAGACAGATGTCGATCCACTTGCGCGCAGCAGCTTGCAGAGAGCAACTTGCGCGCAGCAGCCTGGAACAATGCAGCTTGCGCAGACACTGCCATGTTTCCTCTCGCAGGACGATGAGACGGAGCTCGCATGTGACCATATCCGCATCGATGTAAAAAGGTGTCTCCGCGGCTGGAAGAGCGCTTGAAGAAAAATGCTTTCGGGCCAATCGTCCTCTAGTCTTCCGGGGATGGTTTTGGGGAAAGAAGCCTGGAGTAGACGCTTAAAATGGTTTTGGGGGTTCTGCTTCTAGAAACAAAGATAAGACGTTTGCTGCAGCAGCTTGCATTTGCTGACCATGCTTGCGATGAGGATGAGCCCCCGGAGTCCAGCGTCCGTGGCCTCCTTCGCGCGCTAAATGACGGGGGGGGACTGCCCAGCATGGACGCGGACTCACCAATGTCTGACTACGAAGCCGAGCTTGATGCGTTCATAGCAGGCAACCCCAACCACCCATTGTGGAGGCTCAATCTGAGGCTGCTCGCAGACGCGACGCTCTTTCTGCAAGCATGCAGAATCGAGTTTCCCAGCGTTGTAGGCAGGGCAAGTGGGATTTTTGTCCTCGCCACCAGCGTTGTTTGCGGATTTCTGTGCAGAAGACCGGCGCGTGGGCCGGCAAGCCCGTTGCCAGATGTCCTGATCTTTGGACTTGGGATGCTGCCAACAGGCCGGGGCGTTGGTTTGGTCACAAAGTGACTTTTGAGGAAGCAGATTTGCCCAAAAGCGTTACCAAAGAATCTCAAGCAGGATTTGAAGCGCACTCAAAACATGGCCCCTCTTCGCGTGCATAAGCCAGCACTCACCTGCTAAAATGCAGCCGTGCTGTCACTGCGCTGTCAAGAACGTACCGTTTGACCTGCACTGACACATGCGTGCTGAACAAGGCAAAGAAGGCCGCGCCGCGCAAGGGCAGTCATCGCTGTCTTCTGTGTGGCTCTTCCAAGAACAAAGTGCCACGGTGTCCGCTTCCGGGCGCACACGCATTCCGTGAGGCGGGGGCATCGCCAAGATGAAGCCTACTCTGGCTTAGCTGCGAACCCATTGGCGGACTATAGGCCCACGAAAGATGCAGCCTGACAAGAATGTGGTGCACTCGGAACTGGTCAGAAGTGCCGCTCTTGCTTGCCCAAGAACTCCTTGCACGTGCGGGCAGCTGATTGCAGACGGCGGGAAGCATTGCAACCTCACGCGCACGTGGGCTGTTCCGAGCATGCGTGCCAGTTCCGACACAATGTGATGCAGATGGGGCCTTGGCCTCGCAGAGCTTTTCGCGGGCTACCTCTCTTGCAGCTCTGCAAATTGGTGAAGAACTGGACCACAGGCGGGGGGAAAGAAAAGACGGCTGTGCTGATTGGGCCGGCTGTTTGCAGCGGCAAGCTTGCTAGGTGCCGGGTCGCGGCCAACTGTCCCACGCCTGGCAGCTTTGGCGGGGACTTCGTACAACATGGCAAGGGTGATGAACAAGTACTTGACACAGATTGCGGCTCACGAAGGACAGAAGATGTGCGGTGGCGAGAACAGGGCCTTTGTCGCTGCCTTGAAGAAGTGCAAGGGAGATTGGGAAGTGGAAGCGACCAGCCTGGGGAAGTAACACTTGAAGAGCCAGGGCGAGGTTCGGAAGTTTGACACATGGCTTTCCAAGCGCGGCCAGACGAAGCCTAAGTATTTCCAGCTCTTCATTCGGATGTGATGAGCAGGGAGTCCGGCCTGATTGTGTTGG